GGGGCAGGAGAAGGAGTGACCTGCTATTGGAATGAGCCCTGCCTGAATTAACAAGAACTCTTTGCAAAGAAAAAATATCAAGCCACTCTGAGTAATATGTCAAAGATTAATATTTTATATTGCATACTTGTAGCTATGAGAAAAATAATACAAACATGCATAAAAACATTGCTTATGATGTAGGAAAAAGTGTATGTAACTCTTTCCAATCTGCTACTCCTAAACACAGAGTGCAGCAGATACCCACTTTATAAAGGTGTGTTTTAAAAGCAACAGTACCATGATGACTCTGCTGAACAATGCAGCTTAGGTTTCTGCTTTCACTAAATTGGTGCAGTCTTTTTAAGCTTGCTGAATTCAAATTCCACTATTCTCGAGGTAAGTAACACATATATATGGAAGAGTCAAAAATTTATTTATAAGCTCCACAGAGTTCTTTTTAGTTAAAGCATATAAATATTAGCCCAGCCACTGTGGCGCAGTGGTTGAGCGTCGACCCATGCACAAAGAGTCCTGCCTGTTCCAATCCAGGTCAGGGCACATGCCCAGGTTGTGGGCCCAATCCCAAGGGGGGAGGGGCAGGCAGGAGGTGGCCAGTCTATGTTCTCTCTCAATCTATGTCTCGATCTCTCTCTCCCTCTCTAAAAATCAATAAAAACATATATATATACATATGTATATATGTATATATATATGTGTGTGTGTTTGTATTATATATATAATTATATATGTGTGTGTATATATATATAATACAAACACACACACACACATACAAACATGCACATATATTTTCCCCAGTAAAATATGCATCCTTATCATTGCCTTAACACTTTAGTTTATTGCATAATCCATGAGATGAATCTTGTGTTATTTAAGGTGATCTGAGACTCTGCAGTAACTGCCTAATGATGATGGCAATCATGATGATGCTGCTGCTAATAAATGCTGATATTTATATAGTGCAGCGATTTTCAACCAGTGAGCTGTAAGGGTTTTTAAAACATGCAATACCTGACTATTCGGTCAGGGGCACTGACTCTTTTCCCTTAGACTGTCAAATAAAAATTAAAAAAATGACAACAGTCAACACAACCATAGCTGTCCAATGTGAATGAATCAAAATTATACTTATTTTTTTGATCATTTATTGACAAAAAATATAATATAGTTCTTGGTGTGCCACAGAATTGTAGTAATTAGTTTATGTGTGCCATGAGATGAGAAAGGTTGAACATTGCTGATGCAGTAGTTACTGAATATCATACTCTGTTCTAAGAGTTTTACAGAAATTAACCAATTTAGTCCTCACAAAATGCCAATGAGACAGGCACTGTTATTATTCCTATTTTACAAACGAGCAACCTGAAACACAGAGCGGCCATATTCTCCGAGTATGTAAGACACATTTTGAAAATTGTTTAGCCTTAATTTGTAATATTAAAAGTTAGACACTCCCCAAGTGCCTGAGTTACACTATTACGATAGCCAGTCTATAGGGTATGACCATCACCTAGAAGCGGAGATCTTGCAACATGGGAAATGCCTATGCGGTAACCCTGGAGCAGTCACCGTGCACCCCGCCCAGGGCTGGAACGGGGTTCAGCACAGCGCAGCCCCGCTGCTCCGGGGACACCCTCTGCCTCTCCCTCCTCGCTGCTCCACACTCCCATGTCTCACGCTGAGCCCTGTGGTCTGCCTTCCCCAACCACGGTCTGGGACTGGAGTCCTGAGGCCTCCAGGTCACCACTACTGTCAACACACCCAAAGTCCCTTCCATCCCTCTCCTCCTCTATCTTCCCACATGCTGCTTCACCAGTAATTCCCTTTTTAAAACACCCACGGAAGAGTCCCTTGGATGGAGGACATCTCCTTCATTGCTCCTCCCCTTGCCCTTTAAAGGAAGGACTTGCCCATGGTTCCAGTCTCTACAATATCTGCCTCTGCATGCGGGCCTTGAATACTCCGTTGCATGAGCTGACAAGAACTCTCTACAAAGAAAAAACATCCGTTCACTGTGAAAAGCATGTGAACAGAAACATGATCACATGTGAATAAAGTAGCCCCCAAGCTCCACACCCAAGTTCTCAGTGGCCTGATGAACAAGTCCACAGACCTCCTGCTAACACCGCCTCTCCCCAGTGTAGCGGTCCCCCAGCCCCCCTCAACCACACCAGGTCTGACTCCCACTTCTCTCCAGGGCCCCCTATTCTGCTCTGGTCTCCACACATGAACCTCAATGCCAACTCCACACACAAACCTCAACACCAACTCCACACACGAACCACAACACCAACTCCACACATAAACCTCAACGCCAACTCCACACACAAACCTCAACACCAACTCCACACACGAACCACAACACCAACTCCACACATAAACCTCAACGCCAACTCCACACACAACCACAACACCAACTCCACAGATGAACCTCAATGCCAACTCCACGCATGAACTACAACGCCAACTCCACGCATGAACCACGATGCCAACTCCATGCATGGACCTCAACGCCAAATCCACACATGAACCACAATGCCAACTCCACGCATGAACCACAACGCCAACTCCACGCATGAACCACGAGGCCAACTCCATGCATGGACCTCAACGCCAACTCCACGCATGAACCACAACGCCAACTCCACGCATGAACCACAACACCAACTCCACACATAGACCTCAACACCAACTCCACGCATGAACCTCGGTGCCAACTCCACACACAGACCACAATGCCAACTCCATGCATGGACCACAACACCAACTCCACACATAGACCTCAACGCCAACTCCACGCATGAACCACGACGCCAACTCCATGCATGAACCACAACGCCAACTCCACGCATGGACCACAACACCAACTCCACACATAGACCTCAACGCCAACTCCACGCATGAACCTCGGTGCCAACTCCACGCACGGACCACAATGCCAACTCCACGCATGGACCACAATGCCAACTCCACGCATGGACCTCGGTGCCAACTCCACGCAGGGACCTCAAGGCCAACTCCACGCATGGACCACAAGGCCAACTCCACGCATGGACCTCGGTGCCAACTCCACGCAGGGACCTCAAGGCCAACTCCACGCATGGACCACAAGGCCAACTCCACGCATGGACCTCGGTGCCAACTCCACGCACGGACCACAATGCCAACTCCACGCATGGACCACAAGGCCAACTCCACGCATGGACCTCGGTGCCAACTCCACGCAGGGACCTCAAGGCCAACTCCACGCATGGACCTCGGTGCCAAGCCAGTCAAGACCTGTGACTGCAGCTCCAAATGCCCTCGGCCGGGCCTACACCGTCTCCCCTGGGTGCTGGGAGGCCAGGGCCCCATGCTCTTCCCCGAGCATTCCCGCTCGTCCCCACCCCCGGATCCCTACTCAAGCTTCGGTTCACCCAGGAAGCCTTTCTTTCCCGGTGCCTTCCACTGAGACTGTTTCCTCCACCCTTTCCACTCGTGGTACTGGTGTTCCCTCTCACAGGACAGTAGTAATCAGGTCCTCATGTCACTGCTGCTGGTTGTAAGCTACGTCACTTGCTTCAGCCTAAGGATTCTGTTTGAAAACCCGTCATACGCAGCTGTCTCCACAAACCAACGAGGAGTTTTGCAGGTCTTTGGTGTTTATCAAAATTAAGAACCTCAATCAATAGATATCTCATATGTGCACCGATCAATCCTGCAGCGATTAGCCTATCAGCTCGCAGGGTGGAGGCGGGGAGCTTTGGGACCTCAGACTCCAAGACTTCTGGGAACAGAAGACATTTCGGTTCGAGGAGCTGTTTTCAAACCATTTATCTGTGAAGGAAACGGCCTTGGATTTCGAGGTTGGCGGTACAGTAAAAGCTTTCCAGTGGACTGAAATACAAAAATCAAAACCCTTTTCAGCACAGGCACTTCCCTTGTGAAAGGCAATTGCCTGGAAGCGAAGAGCCTGTGTGTTCCAGGAGCAGGCCAGCCATCCAGGGCAGCCCTGGGAGTGGGCGATTTGCATTTCTATGGCTTCTTTTGTGTGCCCGACTTCTGAGAGCATTTCACTCGGCTGTCACAGCATCCCCAGGAGAGACAGCCAGGGAGTGTCAATACCAGGAGGGACGCCCGACCAGACAGGGAGCCCTGGGCAGGCAGCCCCCGCTGTCACAGAGCTGGTAAGGCGGGGAACCATGTCTGCAGGTCCCCGGCAGCCCCTGACCCACCCCCAGAAGCACCGAGTCTCACGCTCTCACAAAGAGCAACGTCAATGTGCTGCCTTCCGCTTGGAGGTGAGGGCCATTCATCAGCCCCTAACCAGTTCTGGAAATCCCTGTTCTGGCGGATACCCGGATGGTAAGGGTCTGGGGCTTGTCTGGAGCAGTGCAGGCCCGGGGAGAGGACAGCAGGGCTTTCTCTCCCCAGCACTTCAAAGGCCTGCTCCGGGGACAGTCTTCCGGGGACAGTCTTCCGGGCGCGTGGAGACAGAACACAAAGGTGGGCGTCTGCTGTGCCTGCTCTCCAGCTTCGGAACAATTCTGGTGGGGCCCTGAGCCCTGCACCTCCTCTGAGTCACAGCCGCAGAGGTCCCACCGCCCTCCAGGGGTCACACTTGGGTTACAAATCCCTCCCGCGCAGGGAGTGAGCAGCCTGATTTGGAGAATTTATTCGAATCCTTCCTCATTAAGATTCAAATGGAATACGGAGGGTAGAAACTGAACAGACACCCGCACGGTGCCTCGCTGCTCCTGCAGTCAGTAAACATTTATTCACTAGCCCGGCTGTGTTCTCCCCCCACCCGCCCAGGGTGGTTCTCCAGTCCTTCCTGCTCGCTGTTGCCATGCATAATTAAGAAGGTCAGAATTAATGAAGCGGTGTGGAGGAAAGTTCAAGGAATCCCCAGGCACTATTTATTCTATTAGAGCCCGGGCGTGAATGTCAGGCCGGGGGCTGAAGCGGCAGAAGCCCTGGGCCGGCTGCATCCCAGGAACACGCCACCAGGGGAGACTCACCTGCACCACCAAGTCATTCCTGAGCTCCTTCCCTGCGAAAATCACACGCAGTTGGTCAGCTGGAACCCCCTGTCGCTTAGCAACCACCTCCTTGAGCTGGAGGATGCTGGTGGCAGAATCGACCTCCACTGGGAAACCATGGCTGGAGTTGAACCTCACAAACACTGCCGGAGAAAATTGGGAGAAAGAAAGTGAGCATCGCTCCGCGCCTTCACGCGGCAACAGCGACATTTCTGACAGCGGACCCCGCCCGGCCCTCCCGGAAGGCACGCAGTTTCTTTCGCGTACAACTCAGTGCTACTGAGTCGCATTTGGGGGGAAATGGAGTTCCCGTGTTATACTAGTCAGTGACCCACAAACAAAACTGCGTGTTCCTTTTGACGTCTGTGCTGGGAAACAGGGACTCAAGCAGAGCATCTGTCGGGCTGGAACTGAACGAGGCCCAGGAGTCCACAGAGGCTGGCCTCCGACAGCCTGCGCGGACACGCGCCGTCCACGGTGCCCTCTTCACAAAACGCAACCCATGCGTTGGCGCTCCCGGTCCAGTGAGTCCCCACTTGTCGTGGGTAACTGCTGTGACTTCAAGCCAAACGACGTATAATGAAATCAGTGTTACCAAAGGCTAATAGGCTAATTGACAGAAACAAGACTAAAGTGCCTATGACATCTCATCGACGTTATCAGAAAACAAAGTTCTTTAAGGACCTGCTGTAGAGCGATGGAAAAAATTCAAGCCACTTTGTGGACCCGAGTGAAAGCCACCGGCTGTGTCCCAGAGCCCTGGGCACCGGCGGGCCCCCGGCCAGGCTCCGCTGGGCCTCAGAGACACGGATTTGCCTTTCCCTTCGAAACCAGTAACACCGCTTATCTTCGTGGAATTTCTCCACTGCCCTCGGGTCCCTGCGGGGATCCCAGTCCTGTGCCCGCCTCCTCTCACTGGTGCTCACATCGTCCCTCCTTCCACGCCTGCCATGGCTCCCACAAAACCTCCGGATCTCTGCAGTGGCCTCCCAGCTGAAGACGATCTGCCCCCTTCACTGCAGCTGCCCCATGCCATCTGCAGAGTGGGCCAGGGCTCGGGCCTTCCCAGAGCACTCCGACCCCTCCGGTCCCACGCTGTCCCTGAGGGAGAAACTCCAGAGCCCGCTCCGACCCCTCCGGTCCCACACTGTCCCCAGGGAGAAACTCCAGGCCCCGCTCCGACCCCTCCGGTCCCACACTGTCCCCAGGGAGAAACTCCAGGCCCCGCTCCGACCCCTCCGGTCCCACACTGACCCCGAGGGAGAAACTCCAGGCCCCGCTCCGACCCCTCCGGTCCCCCACTGTCCCCAAGGGAGAAACTCCAGGCCCCGCTCCGACCCCTCCGGTCCCCCACTGTCCCCGAGGGAGAAACTCCAGGCCCCGCTCCGACCCCTCCGGTCCCACACTGTCCCCAGGGAGAAACTCCAGGCCCCACTCTCACCGGGCTCGGACCCAGACCCAGCATGTCCTCCACTGGTCCCACTGCACCTGCTGTGTCCCCGGGACACAGAGCACACAGAGCACAGCACATGACCGCGCCATCTCTTGCCTTCTGCATGCCACGCCTCCGTCGCTCGCTGAGGAAAGCGGGTTCACCAGGAGCCATGTGGAAGGTGAGCCCCTCCGAGACGCCACTCACTGTCAGCCCCTGGAGGCGAGCTGCCCTCAGGGCTCCGGAGACACTGACCCTCAGCACTGCCACGTGCTCGCATGAAGGCGGTGCCGCGGAGGTGCCCGGTGCACCCTGCGTGTCAGAAGGACCTAGGCACCAATCCCTGTGGCTCCCTCGGCCGCTGAGAAGCTGAGGGTTACATTAGTCTTCACCCTTTGGCTCTCGGTCCCTAATGTTCGCATCTAAGCCGCGGAGGGTGTCCATACTGTTCGTAGCTATCACCCAGTGGTCTTAAAAAATAACTCATATCTGCACAGGCCTTAGATGTTTCTGATATACGGTTTGTTATCAGTGGGCCAGGTTTCCTCAAGCTTCGTGGCAGTGAGGTTCTGGGGGTACTGCTGACACAGCGTTTTCAGAAGCTCCCATGGGACAATGAGATGGGGTAGGAGACTTTATTCGCATGGAGGTACATTCCTTTGGCTGTAAAGTCTCAGCTCTCTGAGTCGAGCCCTGATAAAGGGGCAGCTGTGGGTCCAGGGAAGCTAGAAACAGGGCCAGTGTCTGGAGTTTTCTTTCCATGTTGCAGCCAGGCCGGTGCAGCATGAGCCCATGGGTCCACTGCGTGGAGTCCAGGTGGGGCGCGCAAGGGAACGCCCCCTCTGCAGCCCGCGCAAGGGAACGCCCCCTCTGCAGCCCGCGCAAGGGAACGCCCCCTCTGCAGCTCGCGCAAGGGAACGCCCCCTCTGCAGCCCGCGCAAGGGAACGCCCCCGCTGCAGCCCGCGCAAGGGAACGCCCCCTCTGCAGCCCGCGCAAGGGAACGCCCCCTCTGCAGCCCGCGCAAGGGAACGCCCCCTCTGCAGCCCGCGCAAGGGAACGCCCCCTCTGCAGCCAGAGTGCCAGGAGCTCTGGTCGGCAAGAGAAGGAACCAAGAGAGGGAGAAAGGGAACGTCTTTTGTTCTGAGTCTTAAATATTCAGCTTTCACGCCCCTGCAGTGGCCACACCTATTCTGGTCACTTACCTGTTCTCAGGAGTGACTGACAGGTAAGCACCTTCCCCTATCACTCACATCTTACTGGGCATGCGTCTAAACTGCCTCTGTCCAGCCCCTTCCCCACCAATCTGCGGGGCACAGACGTTAACAGCAGCCCTCTGGCAAAGCTGCATAAATGGCATGCCTATATTATCGAGTCTCCCCTTTACTCCTTTCCTGGTACATAATAACCAGATTATTATAACAATATCAATCTTATCTCCTTTAAAAGATTATAAACTCCTCAAAGCCAGGCACTATAGCTTATTTATTGCGCTATCTCCTTTGAATGTAGCCTTACCACTAACTAGTTCTCAATTAAAATGTGAGATTTCACCTAATCATAACCATAATATAATAACAATTCCGATGCCAATAACGAGCAAGCACTCAGGAGGCAGCTGCATCTGTACCTTCCGCACACTGCTACTGAGCTCTCCGGTGATCTGGTGCGGTCGGTATTACTGCTGAGCTCCCCGGTGATCTGGTGAGGTCGCTATTACTGCTGAGCTCCCTGGTGATCTGGTGAGGTCGGTATTACTGCTGAGCTCCCTGGTGATCTGGTGAGGTCGCTATTACTGCTGAGCTCCCTGGTGATCTGGTGAGATCGGTATTACTGCCGAGCTCCCCGGTGATCTGGTGCGGTCGGGATTACTGCCGAGCTCCCTGGTGATCTGGTGCGGTCGGTATTACTGCTGAGCTCCCCGGTGATCTGGTGCGGTTGGTATTACTGCTGAGCTCCCTGGTGATCTTGTGCGGTCGGTATTACCATACTTATTTAATAGGGCAGTAATGGGGGCCTAGCACGTTGTAATCACCTTTCCAAGGACATCAGCTACTTTGCAATAGAATCAGAACCCAAGTCCAGTTCAGGAAGTCTAAGCTCTTCCACTTCTACTGTAACAGGCTGCCTCGAATGTTCTCGGAAGGCAAGTCCACATTCCTTTTCCTTACGGTAAAAAGAACCAACAGCAAAAAGGTTTCATCACATAATTCAGACGTTCCCTACACAGTGAGCAGCGGAAAATGGGATTGAACAATGAGAGCCCCGGGGAAGAGCAGAGAGCAAAGGTCGGGGAACCTGGTTCTAGGGCAGAACGGGACAAAAAGTGATGCCGAAATGAGGGCAGGTGACACAGATGTCACCACAGGAGCAAAAACCAGGCACATCCGACCAGCATGGGAAATATTTAGGGAAAATAAGGACAAGAAGTGACAAAAGTGATGCAAAGAAAATTGATGAAAAAATTTTTTCAGCCCTGGCCGGTTTGGCTCAGTGGTTGGGGCATTGGCCTGCGGACCAGAGAGTCCCGGGTTCGGTTCCCACTAGGGGCACGTACTTAAAAAAGTATTTTTTTTCCCCAGAGGAAAAGGTGCTTTTGATGTACTTTTGAGTCGATGTCATGCGACACCCCTGAAAGCAGAGGGGGGGATGATGCACTGGAAGGCCCGAGGCCCCCCCACACCGCAGGTCGGAGACCATAAGACACCCAGAGCATCAGGTAAGCAGGGCCAGCGAGGGCGAAGGGGGCCAGCGGAGGCCAGCGGGGGCTGCCGGCTCTCAACGTGGTTTTCTCAGTGTGAGGAGACTTTCCGGAAAAGCAAGCACCACAGGGGGGATGTGGGAAGCAGCAGCTGGGGACTTTGTAAAAGCTTCCAAAAAAGAGATGGCGAGGGCGAAGGGGGATAAATGGTGACAGAAGGAGACCTGGCTTGGGGCGGGGAACGCACGGTACAATATGCAGATGGTGTGGTATAGAGCTGTGCACCTTAAATTGAGATCATTTTATTCACCGATGTCACCCCAATAAGTTCATTTTTAAAAAGGAATAAAATGCTCTGGCCGGTTTAACTCAGCGGTTAGAGCGTCGGCCCGCAGACCAGACAGTCCCGGGTTCGGTTCCCGCTAAGGGCACGTACTTCGGTTGCAGTTTGTCCCCGGCCCCGGTTGGGGTTGTGTGGGTGTCAGCCACTCGATGTGTCTCTCTCATGTGTCTCTCTCACGTCAATGTCAATGTCTCCCTCTCTCTCTCTTTCTCCCTCTCTCCTCCCACTCTGTCTGAAGATAGATGTAAAAAGTGTTCTCGGGGGAGGATAAAAATAAATACATAAATTAATTAATTAACTAATTAATTAAATAAAAAGGGATAAAAATTCCAGATCTTATTGATGATTTTTCTCCAGGGTTTTAAATTATGGGAATTCTGCTGTAAGGACCTGAATTATAAAGGAAAAACGCTTCAGAAAACATATTAGATAACTCTGTACCATTACCTAAAGGCTTTTTCCCTTACAAATAGAAAAATTAAAGTTTTTGAGCTTACGTTCTACTTGGATAAATCTTAAAAATACTTTAGAAATAAATATTTGTGACTAGGAGGTCAGATATATGGTAGGAATTTATGGTGGAAAGATTGATCAATCACATAGCAGGTATCTGGGTTCCTAAAATATCGGCACAGATCAGAACAAACATCTTCAAGTGACCTGATCACC